TAAGCTGTACGCCATCGAGACATCGGAGAAGAAGATCACGGAGCTGAACGCCCAGATCGAGGCGCTCACCGCCGCCCTGCAGCAACTGGCCACGGAGATCTCGACGCTGTCCACGGATATCGTGGGGCTCGAGGCGGACATCAAGCAGCTGGGCGAGGACCGTGTCGAGGAGCACGAGAAGTACGAGGCCGACAACGCAGAGATGGTCGCCGCCATCGATGCGTGCGAGCGCGCCACCGAGGCGCTCAAGGAGTCCAAGGCCGCCATGGAGGGCAAGGCGGAGCTCAACTACAAGCTCGCCCAGGTCCACGCCGCCGCCTCCTCGGGGGCGCGGAGGGGCTTCGTGGTCCTCACCGCCGAGCAGGAGGCCGCGCTCGGCGAGCTGTCCCGCGGGCCCGCGGACGGCAAAGCCTACGAGTCCATGTACCACTCCAACGAGGTGATCGAGCTCCTCGACGACCTGAAGAACCAGTTCATCAAGGAGAAGAACGACCTCGACACGACGGAGTTCGAGAACAAGAAGCTGTACGACAACATCCTGCTCGAGAAGAGCAACGAGAAGCAGTTCAAGGAGATGGACAAGGCCGAGAAGGAGAGGGTGGAGGCCGAGAAGCAGGCACAGAAGGCCACCGCGGTCGAGGCGGGGTACGTGGAGGCCAGGGCCAAGACCGCCGACGAGGCGTTCATGGGTGTGCTCACGTCCGAGTGCCAGGAGAAGGCGGCCTTCTGGGACCAGCGCTCCAAGACTCGGGCCGAAGAGCTGCAGGCCCTCGCCTCGGCCATCGAGTCGCTCGAGTCTGGGGCGGCGCCGAATTGGAGCGCGAACCAGAAGCTGAACGACCTGCAGACCCGGAAGAGGTCGGCCTCGCGCAGATTGGGCGCTGCGTAATGGGGAGGTCATAAATGGGGGGGTGGCGAGGGTGGTCCGAAAAGGTACCCAAACGGTACCTAAACGAGCCCCCTGGGGCTCCAGGGGGGCCCGAAAGGGGCACGAAAGGGGACCTTTTCCGACCCCCCCATTTGTGACCCCCCCATTAAGCCACGCCCAAGCAGAAGGGGGGGTATGGGGGAAGAGGGGGAGGCCTCTCAGGAGCAGCCCCGTTTCTCAGAAGGCGCGGGCCTTGGCTGTCGATGTAGGGCCGGCGCCTTGTAAGAAGCAGCCTCCTCGAAGCTTTCCCCCCCCCCTGCCCCCCAACCCCCCTTGTTCAGGAGGGGAAAAAACACACAGACACAATTATTCGTCGATTTCCCAGGAAATAGGGGAAAATATGGGAAGTGGGGGGGAAGACAGAGACCCAGAAAATATAGGAAAATATGGGGAATCTTTTTATTTGTGTGTATTTATTTGTGTGTCCTGGGGCCCCTTCACTTGTGCGCGCCGCCAAGAAGGGCGCCAAGCTTCCTGCAGCTCCGCGGGGACCGCGGGGGCCACAGGGCGGGCGGGCGCGAGAAGGCTGTGGCCCTGCTCAGCTCCGCGTCGGAGCGCCTGCACAGCTCGATGCTCGCCATGGTCAGCCTGCGCGTCGAGGCGTCGCGACAGGCGACGCAGGGCGGCCGACAGGAGGACCCCTTCGTCAAGGTGCGCCAGCTCATGACAGACCTCATCGCGCGCCTGGAGGCTGACGCCTTGGCCGAGGCCAGCCACAAGGAGTTCTGCGACGAAGGGATCAGCAAGGCCGTCGGTGAGCGCGACGACGCGGTCGGCGAGTCGGAGACCGTCGACAAGGATAAGACCATCGCGACCGCGGAGGCGTCGCAGCTGTCCATGGACATCGCAACGCTGAGCACGGAGATCGCGGAGAACAAGAAGGGGCTGATGGAGGCTACCGAGCTGCGCGCCGCCGAGTCTGCATTGAACGCGAAGACCGTGAGTGAGGCCGAGGCCGGCCTGGCCGCCGTGAGGGAGGCCATCAGCATCTTGGAGAGCTTCTACCAGGGGGCTGCTCCAGCCAGCAGGCTGCTGCAGACGGGCAGGACAGGAGCGGCCGCGCTGCCCTCTGGCCTGAGGGAGGACGAGCTCCGCTTCAAGTCCACCAACTCCGACCGCACGGGCAAGACCGTGGCCGACTACGCGCCGGACGTGTTTGATGCGGACTATCATGGGTCGCAGGAGGCCTCAAAGGGCATCATCGGCACCCTGCAGGTCATCCAGGCCGACTTCGAGCGCACCGTGTCGGCCACCGAGGAGGCAGAGTCTCAGGCCGAGGGCGCGTTCAACTCCTTCAAGGCGGAGAACGAAGCGGACACGGCGGCGAAGGACCTCGAGAAGACCGGCAAGGCGGGCACGTTGACGGTCACGAACGAGGCGATCCTGACGCTCGAGTCCGAGCTCAGCGATGCCACTGAAGCGCATGCTTTGTCTCTGAAGTCCCTGGAGGCGCTGCGCGCAGACTGCATCGAGAAGGAGGAGAGCTACGAGGAGCGCGTCGCCAAGCGCAACCAGGAAATCGAGGCCCTCAAGGAGGCCCACGCCATCCTGGAGGACTGGGAGGGCCAGTGAGCTGTGCGCCGCCAGGAGGGGGGTCTCTGGGCCGCGCCCAGGATGCGACCCAAGTCCCGGGCGGCCAGCACGACGAGGTGCGGCAGCAGGATGGATTCTCTGGGCGGGGGCAGTTCTGGGCATCGCTCGGACGTGTGCATTTTGTTCTCGGCGAGGGCCGTCGAGGAGCTTTTGGCGTCATCTTGCGAGAAAAGGCGCGCACGAAGCCGAAACATGCAGGGGGAATGGACGTCCGAGCGGTGGCGAGAGTTTCGCTCCCCTTCCAAGCAGCAGTGGCAGCAGCTCCAGCCGCTCTGGGTAGCGCTCTGGGCGCCGCAGTGGCGGCGGCCTCGCGTGCCTCGCGCGCCCGTCACGGCTGCCCGGGCGCAGCCCTGCTATTCCGAGGAGTCCCCGTTCGGCAGCGCATCCCGCTCGCAATCGCTCGCGCCTAGTGAGTGCTGGTTTTAGGTTGCTTGAGCTAACATGTCCACGGAGAAGAGTCGAGGAGCAGGAGGAGGAGGAGGAGGAGAAATACGAGGAGGAGGAGGAGGACGAGGAGGAGGAGGCGGACGATGAGGAATAGGAATAGTCGGGTTGACCCAAAAGGGGGCCCAGCGACAAGGGGGTGGTGCAATAGATTTGGTGCAATACATTTGGGGCGTGCAATACATTTGGGCGTGCAATACATTCCGGGGCGCAAATGTATTGCTGGACTATCGCGTGCAATACATTACTTGCAATACAATGCAATACTGCTCTCCTGCGCAATACATTTGCAATCACATTGCCCCAAATCTATTGCACCACCCCCTTTCAGCTGGACCCCCCTTTGGGTCACCCAGAAATAGGAGGAGGCGGAGGAGGAGGATGATGATGATGATGAGGAGGAGGAGGAGGAGGAGCAGGAGCAGGGATGATGAGGGGGAGGGCAAGGAGGGAGCTGGAGGAGGAGGGAGCTGGATGAGGCGAGAGCTGGAGGACAAGGAGGAGCTGGAGGAGGGAGACGTGGAGCAGCACAAGAAGTTGGAGAGGAGATGGAGAGAGGTTCAGGAGGAGGAGGAGGAGGAGGAGCTAGAGCAGGACGATGCTGCTGCTGCTGCTGAGGAGGAGGAAATAGAGGCGGAGGAGGAGGAGGATGGGGAGGATGCACAGAGGAGAAGGGGGATGAGGACGAGAGATAAGCATCAGAAGAAAGCGTGTGGAGGGGGAGGGGGAGCTGAAGGAGGATAGGAGGAGGATGTGAGAGGAAGGTGTAAGGGGGATTACGAGGAGGAGGGAGGGGGGAGGAGGATGATTATGACGATGCTGCTGATGATGATTATGATGATGCTGATGATGAATCTGACGATGCTGATGCTGATGATGAATATGATAATGATGCTGATGTTGATGCTAATGCTGCTGATGATTATAATGGTGATGGTGATGGTGATGCTGGTGATGATGATGATCAAACTGGTGATGATCATAATGATGATGGTGCTGATGCTGCTGCTGATGATGATGAGTATGAGTATGAGGATGATGCTGCTGATGATGATGATGACGACGCTGATGGTGATGATGCTGGTGATACTGTTGATGTTGACGATGCTGCTGCTGATGATGGTGACGATGATCAGGATAGTGACGCTGATGGTGATGATGATGGTGATACTGGTGATGATAACGATGCTGCTGCTGCTCATGATGATGATGATGCTGACGACGCTCTTGATGGTGATACTGATGATGATGATGATGATGATGATGATGATGATGATGATGATGATGATGATGATGATGATAATAATGATGCTGATGGCGATGCTGATGATGATGAGGATGCTGATGATGATGCTGATGCTGCTGATGATGACGATGCTGCTGATGATGATGGTGCCGGTGATGATAATAATTAGTGGTGGTGATGATGATGATGCTGCTGGTGATGATGATGCTGATGATGGTGATGGTGCTGGTGGTGGCGACGGTGGTGATGGTGACGGTGATGGTGATGACGACGGTGATGGTGATGGAGGTGGTGATGTTTAAGATGATTACGACGACGATGGTGATGATGATGCTGATGTTGATGTTGATGATGTTGATGATGAGGAGGATTATGATGAATATGTTGTTGATGGTGATGATGATGATAATGATGTTGATGAGGATGAGGATGAGGATGATTGCGGTTATGAGGATCTGGATGATGATGATGGTGATGATGATTATGATGATGATGCTGATGATGATGTTGCTGCTGCTGCTGCTGCTGATGATGATGATGATGATGTTGTTGCGCGTGATGGTAGTGTTGAAGAAGAAGGTTCGTACTCCGAAGTACATGTGTAACACTAGGACAATAAAGAGGTCGCCACTACAATGATACATATAGTAATGCGACTGCGAACAAGAATAACGACAGCAAGAGGAGGAGGAAGAGGAGGAGGCCCAGGAGAAGGGAGGAGGGAGGACGGAGGGAGGCAGGAGGAGGGGGAATGAGGAGGAGCAGGAGGAGGAAGGAGGAGGAGGAGGA